GTGTAATATCTGCAGAGCAGAACTTACCTTCCACAGCAATTATTTTTAGTTAGCATATAGCTAAAATCTAAAGATGGTTATATAATAGCAGCTGCATTCTGGCACGATAAGCTCTATGTTTTATATTCAGTTAAAGTATGATCTGATTAGTCGACTAATCGAAAAAAATAATCGGTGATTAATCGATTATAAAAATAATCATTTGTGACAGCCCTAGTTATAAACAATGCTTCCATAGTCCAGTGTTGATCTGATTAGTCCAGTCTGCTCCAGTCTCTTCCTGTTAAACATCTCACTACATTTATTTTTTTTACATTTATGAACTACCCATGTTGTTATTATTATTATTATTATTATTATTATTATTATTATTATTACACATTATGCCTAAAAATGTAAACTGGTTCACTCGCTCAAGTATTTGCCTGTATAAGTTCAGTTTTATTATTAGTTATTGTCTTTCTTGTAAAAATACTATTTTTGTCTTCTCAATAGAGAATTAAGTCACCAGTTGTCAACATTCTTAATTGCCATCTATAACTTATTTACAATATACTCCACATTTTTTCCTCTTTTCCATAAAGCCCCTTCATATATCATCAAACACTGACGTGTTTGTAGCATTGTAGCCTACTTTAACTGCAAATGGGAGCCACGTAGCAGCGCTGCATCTGCTTTCTTCTCCCCTTTCCAAATGAATAATTTATTTTTTAAAGCCACCAACCTGCGACAGAACAAGCACAGTCACCGCTCGCTTCTGATATGGTCCAAACTCACCAACGATTTGAAAAGCTGCCTCAATATCCATACCAAACAAGGCGAACGGGTAGCTAACTGAGCTAGCATCGCAGCCAAAAAAAAAAAAAAAAGTGCAAGAGAGTGACCCCTCATCTACTTCCGGTTTCGCTTCTGAACGCTTCCGTCAGAAAAGCGGAGTTTTTAATTAAGGATTTAAAGCCAGTTCATCACATTTTTATTAAGCCCTAACTACTATAAATACTAATAAATTATTTAGGCTTGTTGATACAAAGATTTTTTGTCACAACTCTGAACTTGCGTCACTACCAAAAGCTATGATGTGCAAGAGTGTGTATTTTTATTTCAAACTATGTGCATGTACAAAACAAAACGAAATTTCCTGTAATACAATGTGTTCCAAAGGGGAGCAGGCTTGTCCAGTCCTGCCCCTAACTCTTCATACAAGTTCTTAACAAAACTACTGATTTAACCTATAAAATGTTTCACAGAGTCTCATTTCTAAATGTGCCCCGCTCCCTCCCCCGCCGCATTTTCCTTCAAATAAGACTTCAGAAAAACAGTGTTGTTCATCACACTTGACAAAATTAAAATTTAATAAATATTACAAAGTACATAAGGCGCTTTGAAACATCTGTCATAATTAGTAGTCAGGTGTACATAGATATCAGAGAAAACATAACAGTGCATTGCAAAGGCTGTACGATAAAATAATAAATTACATTTTTAGCAGTTTTTTTGTAACGCAAAACTATGTAACAGAAAAGTGATGATGTCAAATATATTTTACATTACACAGATGGTGCAAAGGCCTTCATTTGTGTATGTTTTAATTTTTTAAAACATATCTCAGTTAAGTATTCAGATGCTTTGTTAATATAGATACTGTATTCCCAAACGTTTGTTTGGCGTGAGTTGTCTTATGAATTGTCCAGACGAACACAATGGAAGCACTGAAACAGTTTTTACAACAATTATTTGTAGAAAAATATTCCTTCAGTATACTGCATGTTTCCAACGCTGGTCTACTGACAGGGACAAAAACTTGATTTAAAAAAATATAATACAATAATACTCAGGCCTTTGCACAACACTGATACTTTAAACATTTACAATCATTTAAACACTTTACATTCACTGTTTTAACAGTTGTAACAGGCGAGTTTGTGAGTGATTTTCATGTCAATGATCCAGTGTGCAGCAGTCAGACCATCACTGAGGGGGGACAGCAGAACCCACCTTCTCTGACCACAATCTGATTTCCTCATTGTCTAAACGCTGCAAAGTCATGATTTACTTTTAGTCAAGAAACAAAGATTGTTTCTACATGATTATGGATTTAAAAACAATCAATAACAATAAAAAACATTTCATGATGAACTGTCACAGAGGATAACATACATAAGATGTAATAAAAGCATTAAAACCCAGACTGTGAGGCACTTCATGGGATTATCTCAGGTTAAACAGTCAGAAATCTCTCTAAAATGGGTCATTCTTTAAAACGGTTCCTGTAGTCGTCGTCCTTTCAGTCAAATGAAATGGTTTGTTTTCACGCTGTGGTAATAGCTTTTATCTTCATTCTTCTTTTCTCTCAGTAATCCTGAGCAAAACTAAATAATGGCTCTTTGATCTTCCCTTTTCAGTTTGTTTACATGTATTTGGATGAGTAATATGTGTAAGGCAGAAAATAATAACAATAATAATCCACTGAAAGCGTTTCTCCAAAGAAGGTTTTGCAGATAAACAGAATGTTCTGTTTCCCAAAGAGAAGCTGCTGGACAGATCAACAGATTCATGACTGGTCAGGGGTCCCGTTGGAGGTCTCAGGACCTTTCAGAGGGGTCGTTTCACTGCTTTCATCAGGGTCTGGAGGAGTCTTGTTGGAGGTCTCGATCTCAGACTCTGTGTTCAGACAGACCAGCTCGCTCATTTCTCCATCATGTGGAGGGAGATCAGAATCTTTCAGGCTGGAGAAGTCGTGTTGGGGGTCTCGGTGGTAGTCTCTGTCGCCAAAGGGATTGTCACGCTGTCATCAACAGTTTGTTGTGGTCCGTCAGACTGTTTCTGGCGTGTTCCAGGAAGATAAGGTATAAATGGTGCAACTTTCTGTGGATATTTGTAGGCAAACACTGAAAGTGCTACACCTGCCGCTATTAATAACAACAGGAAAATAATCCCAACAGTCAGACCAACATGACTCTGTTCTTCTGGCTTTTTGATGAAAGGATTCTCCAGAGGCTCACTGTTCTTCTCACTGATGGGATTCTTTATTTTGCAGCTGAATGTT